CACGAACCTGACCTAGAGTCTGCATTGCCGCAGATCTCTCCGTTGAGGAGCGGTAAGGATTTTGACCTCATTGCCGCCAACAGCGTCAAAATTCTCGGTCGCAAAGCGAATCTGATCTCCAGTTCTGGCTCAGGGTCAACTCAGGAGCCCTCCATACAAACAACCGAAACGGCAAACGTGATTCGCAAGACGGGACCGCAGTCGAATCAAGCTCGATTCCTGGAACGGCTGATGCACATCAAGAGGCAAAGAGGTGAAACAGACACTGTGCGCACTGTCTTCAGTACGAAACGTACCCAGAATCTGGAGGATCGACTACGAGGCTGGGCTCGCACGGAGGAGGAACTTGCAGAGGTCCAGCGGCTTAGCGAAGCTGCGAGTCGAGGAGATACCGTGGCGTTGACCGCGCTGGAAGAGCTCTACACTGAAATTAATGGCCAGAAATTTGGGCCGGGGATGTCGGACGAACCGACCCAGCCCCGTTGATGTGCCTATAAAGTTAGCCTTTGTTATTCACCAGTAACCTGCGAGGTCTACTTGAAGCGACTGCAGCGTGCCATTGAAGTCGTATGGACGACTGTTTGGCACAATACCGCGATGCAGCTCGCCAGCATCAAAATCGATCCGCCATGTGGTCGCTCGAGGCAGTTCAAGTCTCGGTCGAGGATGAAGAATCTGGCCGGTAACGTACTCGGTTGAACCACAGAGGCACTTTCCGACCTTGCTATGCAGGGCGCAATGGTTGAACGGTAACTGCTGGGCCTTGGATCGAGTCAGAACCTACATAATACTCTTTGGTTGCTCTCGCCGCATTCTCAACTGAGCTGGGCCAACTTGCCATATGCTTGTCCTGTCTATTGATCCTGGCGAAGAATTGAACCGAAAGAGCCCACGCCATCGTGATAATGCTCACGTGCGATGTGTAACTGAATTCCATCGTCTTGTGGAACAGAACTGTGTCTACAGCAACCCTTCCACTAACTGATATGCCAAGCGCAATCTAGTCCGTGGATGCATCCTATGAGACGGAGGGAATGAAGCTAAAAGATGTGATTATGAAGACTCGCTAGCTAGTCGATATTATATCACATGGTAAACGACTCGCAACGCCATGAAGATCCGAAAGCAAATCAATAAATAAGATGACAAGTCAATACCTGCTTTTCCAAACCGAAACAATCCCTAATGTACTCTGACAGAACCACCGAGGAACAGATGAGGGCTCGCTGAAAAAAAAAAAAGGGCAAGGGAAAACAAAAAATTGAACAACCTAAAAGCCGGCTCCATAAAACAGAAGAAGAATCAAAGTCACAATGCAAGATATATGGTACTTCGTCGCAGACAAGGCAGCAGCCGGTAACGACGGTCAAGCTCGTTTACCCTCTCTCCCCCAGAAACAATGTGTTGTTCTTGACTCGACGGGCGACGGGGGGGGAGGAGGGGGATACTCCAGCGCCCCGTGAGGATGCGAGTCGAGATGGATAGATTTGGGCCCGTCGGCGGACGCGAGGATCGCGCGGGAGATGTCCTGGGTGAAGGTCGAGGGTGTCACGAGGGTAGGACGGGAGGGAGGGTGTGAAGGGATTGGAGAGGCCATTGCGACTGATACTTGTGGTTGAATTGTTTTTGGGAATGTGACGGTGACCCAGGTGAGCGCGAGAGTCCGATGCGAAGATACTGAGGTAGAAGTACGATTGGGAAGAATGGGCTGAGCTGGCTGGACGAAGCTGTATAAATCTATATAGACAGGATACCCTTGTTAGCTACCTTTATTCCGAGAGAGCTGCCTCCGAGAATCCCCGATGAAGGGAGTAAGGCCGAAACAGAATGAGGAGAACAGCTCCATCGCCGAATGCCATGTGATGTAATCTTTGAGTCTTTGGAGAAGGCGAATCGCTCGTGAAGATCCTTCATCGGGGACAGGGAAGAGAAAAAACAAATGGAGAAAAAGCTTACCTGGACTGGGTGTACGTACGCTGGAGGATTATCCCGATGATGTAATGATATACAAGGTCATCGGCAAGGTCGAAAGGCTGCTGGGTTGTACAAGCAGCGTGGGATGGGCTAAGCGAGAGAATATGGTAATCTCAGGTCACAGCAGCAGATGTATGACAAAAGATATTGATATTGTATGGAGAGACAGTACAGAGAGCTGAGGGTACTCAGGGCTCTGGATACAACACTAGAGAGTGGTAACAAGTGGCTAGCTGTAAGCGAGTGAGCTGTCCAGGGGAAGGGCCAGAGTATATAGAGATTGTGGTAGTATGCTCTGGAAAACTGGAGGAAGCAGCAGAGATAGAAACGTAAAAGAATGATCAAGCACCTAAAGGACCTAGGGAGACATCCAGCCGATATAAATGAGGATTGGATTGGGGGCCCCGGCCAGGAGCTAGTTAGTGTACATTGCTAAAGCATCCAGTCAAACATCCATAGATCATTTTAATCGTATCGGACAAATATTAGGCAGTATTATTATTATTGTTGTTATTTTTTCCCCAGTCAGATATCCCCATCACCCTTTTGTCGTGTCCATCGCCTAGTCTAGGTCCCAGGCAAATGTTTGGCTGTTAGGGATCATCATCGCCCTAAAGGGATCAGGGTGTCTTCCTCAAAGTACGATGGGCGTTCGCCCTGCCTTTCTGGCATTTATTTGAATGAGGGTTTCATCCCAGACCTAGGGACCAGAGAGTACTGGACTAGAAGTAGTGTAACCGTGTCGTTGGTCGGTTGGGTATCCAGGCGGACTAGTGTACGTTGCGCATGCTTGCCACGACGGACGGAAGGGCGGGAACGTAACCCGGGGGAAACCTATTGTGCTCCGGGGGAAAAAGCAAGGCCACCTCTGGGGAGTGAGGTGGCTCTGGTGGTGGGAGAATTAGGAACAAAGGGGGTAAGATTGGGGATCATGCAAGTAACCTGAATACCTGATAGGCAAGCGAACAGCCGGTGGATAAAGGAGAATTTCTGCTGGAGAAAGTATGGAGATTAGAGGTGCATACGTGTGCATTTGATGGAGACTGTGGGGGTGAAAGCCTTGAAGGAGCTGCCAAGTCTCCCACAATTGCCAAAAGCTAGGCATAGTACATCTTCCTACTGTAAGGAGCAAAGGGAGAATTCGAAAGGGCCACCGGGAGGCCGGGACAGATCAAGTCAGGGATTTCTGCGACGGATATGGATCGTTACTGATACTTATTCAGGAAAGGGGGTGATCATACGGTGGAGGTAATGTTCATTCAGATTTGTCTGAGCATTAAGTACTACTGTAGTGGCAGACATGTCACACTTTATGCCTTGACTGGGTATCTGCTTATTATTTGTCTCAAAGGTACGAGAGGCAGAAACATGCACTGCTCCCTTACGGTCAAAATCAGGCAGAAAACATGCCAACCTACTTCTTTGAGAGTAGCCTGCCATACCGGCAAAGAGGGAAGAGAAAGTAACCGAAATTCTTTGTCAGTGAATAGGTGGAAGATGTAACCATCCTTGAAGCTAAACCGTATTGATGTTAATTCTCGAAATTCCGGGGAAGCTCCGTAAGGGATCCATATTAAAGACAGCTATATCCAATAGACCACCACAACTATGCATTCATATAAGTCCTTACGCAGGAGGCGGCGATCGGCTTGAAGCTAACCAAACTGTCGGAGAGGTATCTAGGAGCTGCTGCATTTGCCTAGAACTTTGATGGAAGAATTCAAGAATCCAATACTCCGTAGGCTAAACTAGACTAGTCTGGATAGTGCCAGTCTTCCGGAGTTACCCCTAAGGGAATGACTCCAGACCACGCCGTAAGGAAGATGATTTCCTGCTCCAAGCTGATCCTTTGGAGTCTCTCCTGTAGTAGACATTAATCGAATCCATTGAATCTTCGATATTCTCTGGGAACCTGGTAGAAACGGGGTTATTGAATTATCGTTACTTACCATGTGTTTATTACATTAAGGGGCATCAAATGCTTCAGCTATGGCTTACGTTCAACAACTCTGCTACAGGGTCTAGGTTTCGGAGTATAACTTCGAGCTATGTTAATACTACTATTTTAAGTACGGAGTACAGCTAACTAAATGGGAAGCCTGTTCGTCATACCCTGTGGCCGCATACTGGAGTGCAACTAAATTAGAAATATAGATTCGGTACTCGAAAATGGCAAATGAGTGCGGAACACTGCTTCAGGATACTGGAGCAACTCTACGGAAGACCGCGTGGGAGGAAGGACCATCTCTGTCTCCAGAAGATTAGCACCCATATCTACTCCGTAACGCCATACAGTATCCAACACGACCGCTGAACAAAGAAATGGATTATTGGTCTAATCATATACCAAGGTTATGATTGAATGTAGGCACTCTTATCCTAATAATCTAGTGATATCAATGATCCAATGATTGTATCTTTTATCCACCAAAGTTATCAGAAGCAGAATCTTCTGTATCTACTGTCACATTACGAGGTTGCCGCATACCCCATCGGGCAAAAAAGACGAAACATTCCCGAAGGGGACATGGCCCGAGAGGTCAATCCAGTATCCACAAACTAGTCTAACAATGATTCTTTCCGGATTTCTAGAAGCTGGTTGAAACACGTAAAAGTATAAACTCAACGGAGGCATCAGATTATGCAAATGGGTCAGAGAGATGACAGTAGCGTATCACAATGACTGGGGCACCAATGCAGGTGATCGATGCAGGAGTATTTGAGTATGTATCTTGAGACTAGGTGATAGCAACCTAGTGCGAAAGAAGTTGACGAACGATGAGGACAGTAACGGCAGGACATGGGCCCCGGCTATTCATCATGGGCTATTCTAAAGGCTGGAGATACTCATACCCACTCATTTACCTATCGGATCTCTCACTTTGTTCTGATTTAGCGCTGATCAGCACGAGTCAATGGTCGTGAGGAGTCTGAACTGATCATTAACCATCATTCCGACGTCCGTCCAGATAACTGGCGTCCAGCTAAGACGGCGAATCATTACAGTCCAACTCTCTCATCAATACTTAACATGATGGGTGTGCGCTCCTTGGCCATAAAAGTTGTATTCGAAACTCCGTACCCGCAATCTTGACATCCTTCCCTTCTCTCTGAATCCTTTCACGGTCTCGAGCCTGGATCTTCTTCTTCTCCGAGATCCGACAGAGATGTGCCAGGTTCTTCATCATCTGAGATGTTTTGTGGGTGTGCAGAAGGTCACGAGTCCATGCTCTGACGATGCTAATTCGAGGGTGTTTACGAACGAGGGGTTGCTCGAGGAAGCTACAAAAATCGTCAGCTTTGAGTGACATTTGCAGCTTGGACGAAAGGGTAATCTCACTCTCTGAAATGTGTCCAGATATTATCCCTTCTTGATGGCCATTTCTCTGGGATCCCGATAAACAGCAACCCTCCGTCCGGCCAGTGTTGCTGAAGACACATCCACAAAAGCCACGTCTCGTCTGCTGGACTCGGTGGCCTTTTGTACGGTGCCAATTTTTCGCCTGTCCAGTTCCATCGTATCAACTCCAAACCTTCCCCGATGAAGTAACTATCTGGAAGACAATCTTGCTCGTCGTTGGCCAGCGAAGCTAGGACTGTAATCGGTTGCGGGGAAGTGGTTTCCTTCCAACTGTAGCCTGTCTCAAATTCCCAGAGTCTAACTAGTTGCTCCCCCAAGTTTGGAGTGTCTTGACAACTGGGGAGTCGGTGGACAGGGAACGTGACTGTATTTTCTGACCCCAATGCCCCTCCGTGCACCAAACATGAGTCGCCATTACTATCACGAAGGTCTATTCCGTCTTTTGTACTGAGTCCTAGGTCAGATGCTGTAGTTTTCTTTCTTTTTCCGCATGTAAATTGTCACAGTAGAAGGGGAACCCACAAAAACAAGTACTTCCTTCTAGCGTACGTCTCGTTTTGACTGGATTTAGGAGCGCGCAGTACGAATTTATAGTTGACTCCCAAAGGGCTTGCCCAATGAAGAGCAAGCGACCGATTTTTCCAAAGAAATACCTCTCTCCCGTTTAACTGCGCCTGATACAACGGCTTGTATCGCGACAGAACAGCTACAGACAAGCTGCTATGGATGGGTTCATCGTGCATTTGCTGCCATAGCCACTGATCAGTCGACAACTCGAGCGTGAGGGTTTCGAGTACGTCCTTAGAGGAGGCCCATTTCTGACGTGAATCAATGACACGGGTAAGATTTTCACGCAGGCGGTCACCCAGGCTCAATCCTTTGAGAAACTGCAAAATGGATACACGTGGACCAACAGTGGTCGAAAAAGATTCGTCTTCGTATACCTGCCATACTGCTTGGGCCATGGCATGAACAAAAAAAGATGTCCCTTCTTCTAGATGATTAGCCCATGTGAACCAATCTTGGGCCCTGTCGCGGTTGATGTGTACGTGGAGCTCTGGTATATCCATAATCCATAAGCGGTAGACTTGTTGCCTTCGTCTTGTGGACATGCTGCCGTCTACCGCATAGCCGCTGTATATGTACCGATCCTGTGAAATGTGAATGACCAACGTCATAAATAGAAAGAGTGTGCACGTACTACGTCTTTTCGCGTCGCTACCGCAGTGGCGATTCTATCATTTGAGGTCGGCCAGGTCATTCCAGGTGTCGGTCTCTCAGACTACAGGCTTGCTTTAAGATTGTTGAACTTTGTCCAGAAACCTTGATCACGCAGGATACTCTCGACGTTTGCTTTGATAAACTCACACCAATCATGCCGATCCGTTGCGTCAAACTTCGCCATTGAATCCAGTGTCACATTGATGGTAAGTAGCAAGACCCAAAGTGTCATGTCAAAGACTTTGAGGAAAACAGCTGGCTTGATTGAGTATCGTCCTTGACCCGGATGAAAACATGGAATCTGTATGCAGCATAGCCCTTCCGCTGGGTGCACAAGCTTTAAATTACCAACCCGAGTCCAAAAATCGGAAGCGCTGCCTTGTGACCTTTCAAAGCCCGAGGCTATAAGTGATGAAGGCTTGACTGAGAATGTCAGCATGATTAATGGCTTTGCCAACCCAATGTATTGCTTCAGAAAGCCAGCCGCTGCTTGTAGATTACTCCCCTCTGCCTTGTGCCATGGACATAAATCCACAAATGGAAAAGCACCGGCGTCAATGAGATCGCTTAGGGCATACTCAACACAGTTTGTCGATTGCTCCCACTGCCAGAGCCTTGACAGAAAAGATTTTATCAGGGTCGCTGAGCTGCTGTATCCAGTATAAAATGCTTCGGCCGTTCTATAGCTGCCATGGCTAATCCCGGCTCCAACGGTGAGCATAAGTACATACTTGCCCTCAAACAGAGAGGGTGTTGCCTGTTTGACCATCATATGCTTGAGGAGGTCAGGAAATTCATGACATCTGTTCCGCCAAACTGACACCACTTGCTTGTGCTCTCTTGCGTATCTTTGAATTTCGTTGCCCCAAGCTATGAGGGACATCGGCGCGGGGCGTTTATGAAACTTGGAAGGACTCATGCGAGAGATAGTGTCGGTAGCAAGGGCCACGAATGCCTGGCGATATGATGGACTAGGGTCAAACTGCCAGTCAACGAAGTCAGTCATCGCTTGATTCAACAAGTAGGGCAGGCCCAGTAATGCTATTGCTGCCTGCTCACTGATTCTGTTATATTTAGACACTTCGCGCAGTCCCTTGAGCTGTCTGGCTGGAAATACATGGATCATTGCTGAGTCTATCACCATTGGGTAATTCTTCTCTAGGGTGGAGAGGAATCTAGCCAGAAACCCAGTTTTCCGTATAAGTAAGTCCTCTCGGTGTCGTCGGAGAGCCTCTCGAGTCGTTCTCCCCACATATCTCACAAAAACCAGCTCCTGGGGTCGCATCATTTCTATACTCCTCAGCCACGCAGTCGCCTTTGCATATTGTAGACCGGTTCCATGGAACTCTGCAATAATGTCGATTAGTTGAACCACGGTCAGTTGAAATGAACGGATATAGACAAAGGTTTGCCGACTGCCTTTGTCGGGCTGCGTTCTCTCCATTGCCGTCCTTAGCCCAAGCATGTCTAGAAGCATCTGATCTGAGACTTTGAGAGGTGTGTGAATAAGGACCTTCCAGTCTTTCGCATAAGCATCGTTCTTTGGAAGGCAGTGCTCGAGCATCAATGCCGGAATGCCCTCTGTGGATACTCCATGCCTGGCAAGGCGATCAATGATAATCCGACGGATGTCTCGCCGCAAACCACGTACGTCTTTTATATGCAGTAGATCGGAGTCATCCTGCGAGTGATTCCGCTTCGTTGCGACAAAGGGAGGGCCTTGTGATAGAATATGGAGATAGTCGTCGCGATGTTGTTCCATTTGGGATATTGTGAGAGTACCTCCCATGGGGAACTCTTGTCTAGGCGAAAGAAGATTTTGCTGGATATATCTCGTAGGAGAAGGTGACATGAGCTTCTGTTCCTGTATTTCCCACCTCAGGGCATGGGGGTCCTGGTGTTGACAGTGAACAGTTCTGTATTCGCAAGGCCTACTTGCCTATAATGACCGCCAAATAGTGGAAGAACCCGTTAACAGTACCAGGAATCTGCTTTCAGGCACAAGGTAAATGTGAATACTACCTAACATACTATTGGCATTCATCCAGCAGTGGCCATTAGTTCCATAGATGTGTATTAATTATATGTTGCTCTCCTAGATACTCTAGAAACCACCAATTGAGGACGTTTATATGGAAAACGGACGCTTGTTGAAAAAAATTATAATGTATTATTAGTCTATTTCTCTTTATTTTCAGACCAGATATTCTAGGTGTGTGTGAGCCAAGTTGCAGCCTGTTGATACAGTATAGGCCGTAGTATGGTGGGGACCGTCAGGTGTATATAGTTATATGCCAGCGGAGGAAGTTATATATTCGAGCCGAGAACTGTCGAAAGCATGGTCCTTTGCATGACGGAATTATAATCGCATAGATACTTTGCTACATTGTATGAGTGTTGTGTCTTTATTTGCCAATAAAATAAAAGACATAAAAAGGTTGATTAAACGATTACACGGAGGGAAAAAAAAAAAGAAAGTGAGGCTGACCCGACTTGAACGGATAACCTTAAGATCTGGAGTCTCTGTGGAAATTTGTTAGAACAAGTTGATTGACTTATGTAAGACTGTTATAGACATACCACGCGCTACCAATTACGCCACAGCCCCTTAAGGTGACAAATATGGGCTCCGATTTAACTTATAGCGCAGTCCAGAATTGTATAGCCCAATCTATAGGAATGTCCAACATGAGTATATGTAACCTCTAAAAAGTACACAATGATCAATATGAAGTTGCCCAATTGGAGAGACCTACAATTCTCCCGTATATGCGCTGCGCATATCAATTAACATACAAGTGACCTAGCTGCCCTTACTCTCCTAAGGAAGAGAATGGAGTGCTGCGACCACCTTATGCTTGGTGTGGAATGTTCATTGAGACACGTTGATATCTTAATGGACCTAATCTTCTGACTATATCATGCCCCGACCACTACATAACTTTTTAAGCAGCCATATAACTGTTTATGTTAAGAGCAAGCCTGTGTTGTCTCGGCTGCTGTCAGATAAAACTAGACCAGCTGATTCGGACAGTGAATGATCCAAAATCATAATTGCTTATATATGATCTCAGTGTCTCTTATATAATAGTAAACCTGATTCGACAAGGAGGAGTTAGCAGTAAGTTGGTCGACAATGTACCTCATGCTTTTCGCACGACTGCATATGTAACACCCTGCGCAGCGGCAGTAGAGGTCTAGCTTATGGAGAGCTATCAGCAACGCTTAGCTAGATATGCTGCCTGTCACACAATCCATAAAACCAAAATGCGTATATACCTCCGGGGCTGTGGCGTAATTGGTAGCGCGTGGTATGTTTTATCAAGAGTCTTACATAAGTTAATTAACTTGTTCTAACAAATCTCCACAGAGACTCCAGATCTTAAGGTTATCCGTTCAAGTCGGGTCAGCCTCATGCCGTCTTTTTTTGCTCTGTTTGTGTGGTTCCAAGCGAGGACCGTTGACGCAGTAAATATATTGAAGCACCAACGGGAAGATCTGCATATTTTTTGGTCCTCGGAATGCTGCAAGATGTACAAGTGCTTTAGGTTTGAGACTCGTGACCAGCACCGGTTCACCCCAAGCGAGGTCTGCCGAGCGCTTCAGATGACATTGTCTGAACTCGGTATAAGATGCCAGGATATTGGATACTCCGTAAAGGGGTAGGATTGTTACAGGCCGAACATTCCAACCCACCTTAAGAACTCATTGTGGGAGGTCATGCTCCGTACAGCGAAGTTTACTTATGATGACTGGCAATGACTGACGGACACGTTCATGTCCAGTCGCCTAAAGTAGATTGATTAGTTGCTTGAGACTTAACTTCGCTACAAGATTTGATGAGCGGGCCAAAAATGCAACCATTGGGGCTGTGGCGTAATTGGTAGCGCGTGGTAAGTTCCAAATTACTCCAAACAGTACAAACAACATTGTCTAACAATGTAACAGAGACTCCAGATCTTAAGGTTATCCGTTCAAGTCGGGTCAGCCTCATCCCATCTTTTTTTCTTTTTACTTTTTTTCTTTTCTCTTTTCTTTCCTCTCTCTCTCTCTCTCTCTCTCTCTCCCACCTCCATCCAGTCTTCCTATTTCTTTCGAATAATCGTATCCTTTAATTCATTTCTACCACGACCATTATCACTGCCGGATCATGGTCAACAATGTGCAATTGGTGATCGATCCATCGGCATGCTGTCATCCCTGTATACTTTCCAGACATACAAAGAGCCCACGACATGAGCTTGGTGGTCGACCTGCGTCCATAACTGACACATTATGAGCAATTTTGGGCATACCGTTATACTGTAAAAAGTGCATTGCGGTCTTCTGCTGGTTACTTTTCGCCTACAGACTAAAATCGACACCAGCCTTGATGAAGTTGAGACATACCGTCTTAAAACGCTAATCGCACTCCCAGGACTCATGTCTACAGAGGCCAGGAAGCATGGAACTCTTCCCTGCTTCTCCTCGACTTCTGTGGCAGCGGCTTCATGCTCACATTGTTTGGCTGACGATGAGTTTTGCCGATATGTCGCGGACCACACAGGCTAGACTGTGATTGTCCTGTAATACTGCCTGGCGCTGCGTACAACGATGCCAAAGACGCATTGAGCTGGGTATAACCTCACCTGGAATGATTTGACACCTCGCAGAGATTCCTATCCAGGTTCAGCGCGGGCGCTGCTCTAGCACTGGCAATACTATCACCTTCGCTCATATGCAGAGCCAAAGGGAGCGATGAATTGCTCATTTGCTCTGTGACGTGACTCTATGACATGACAGACATATCTGTACCCACGACAGCCAAGAATACTGAATTTAGAGATCCGTGGCTGTCGCTGTTATTCATGGATCTAGCATAGTTTCTTACAAATATACTGATCTGCAGCGC